TCAGCGATGGGATGCCGAAGGAATAGAGAAATAACCGAATATTGATTTTATTTTCACAGAACGTGATCTTTTATTAAGCTGAGAAAATTGAACGTAGGATGATCCGCAAAAGTATCTAAACGCTTACCATCGAAAATTTTTATGTACGTGCTTCAATCAGAATGCAATTTGATTAGTACTATAATGAAGCATGATAATTGCAATTGTGTTGATAAAATTTGAGATCGACCTGAAAATGTACAATAGTGGATCACGAAAGTATTTAACTAGCGCTTATAATTACCCGGAATTCGGACACATTAATCGATCTGTATTAACGGTATGTGAACGGTATGTGTTTGCCGAAGAGCAGAAAGTAATGGTAAATTTATTATTGAGAAAAGCACTTATTACGTTTACTATGAGTCACCAGTATATGAATTTAAAGTACCTAATAAATACTTATTACTATTTATAATATTACTATCTATTACATACATATGCATACATGTATTTAGTATTGAAATGTCACTGCTTGTATTAACAAACGAAATCTTTCTATCAGTTTAAAAAAATACTCTTTATTAATCTGACTACTGATACAGAAATAGAAGGGTCTAGAGATAAAAAATTTGTCAAGTAAGGATCTATATGTTTAGCGATTGCGATCACTACTTTGTTATTATATATCACTTTTCAAAAACCAACCACGACACAATGTTTTATCACAGATACCTACAATCAGTATACAAACTAAAATTATTCTAGTTCATTTTAACTTAATGTTGCAGTTAAAATGCAACCTTGTCGATAATAAACAAGGCGTAGAGGAAAAAAGCAAACTAAATTATATACTCAATTTTAGACACAGACGGTGTAATTTTTAGTGAAAATATTCTTGTAATTATTTTAACAAAGGTAAGCTGAATTATTCGAAAATTTAAACATTTCATATGAAAACTGTTCCTTGTGGATCCATTATTAGTTACGATGTTAATTATAATTTACATTGTAGTAACTGTACCATAATGATAAAAGTAATATTTATCGATTTTCTGACCTTGTCACTCGGTGACTAAAAGGAATATTTCGATAAGAAATAATTGAAAAGTTGATTGCTAATATACATGTTATTGAAATTTAAAATTGTTTCTCTATGTACAAAAGACATGACAAATGTGACATGTTCTCCTCCTGTAGCCTTCATATTAAAATAATTTATTGTATAATAATAATGAAGGAAAAATAAGTAAGAATAAAATACTGATAATAAAAGAAATTAATATTAATAACTATATTATCACGGATAGTAGAAGAAAAGAGATTTTTTTAAACTTCTATTTCTTTGAACCTTAATAAACTATTAAATTCAGAATTACTAACTATATTATTATATTGTTATTTATATATATCCCTAGAACTATATTATTATATTGTTATTTATATATATCCCTAGAATATAAAGCAAACTCTCTCGAAACTAACTGAAGATACAGACTCTGCATCTGAACTAATTAACTCGATATTTGGTCCCTTTGGGATATGATAACTAACGATCAAGTATTGCGATAAACGCGCTAATTAACAAACCGCCAATGATAAAGTAATAGCAAATATAAGTATACGAAACGCATTTAATAAACGAGAATATTCGTAAATATCTCTGTAATTTCCCACGCAATCAAAAACGGAATTGAGAAACTAATGGAAAAAAGCTCGTTTGGGACCTTGGGATCTTGACCTCTGACGTACACAGCTTGCGAATAATAGCGTTAATAATACATTAACGATTACAATGAACGGACCATTGACATAAATCTTAATCCTCAAAAATCATGGATTCTTTAACCCATTTTAAACCAGGTATTCAAATTGCTTGTTTAAGTTAAATTGAACATTTCCTTGCTCGCAACAGAGTAAATGTTTTATTTGAAAAAAACTTTTAATAAAAATAGTAAAATTCATTCAATATCACTCACCCATCTCATACGCCCATTATGCTCGAGCAATTAGATCTGTAATTATTTACAACGTATAAATTAGAACACAATAAGAAATGAAATAAAAATATTCGTAACAATAAAATTTAATTAAAGCAATAATAAAGTATACTCGTAAATCTTACTAAAGAGACGAAGTTTCGCGAGTTAATTTTAATCCAAAGAAACGTCGCAGCAAATAACGATCCTTTTGCAAACACCAAGAGACTTTACCCGATACTATTCTCTTTTGCGCGTCACGTTGTCTCCTATCATTTCCGATTATTTATCCTGTACAATAATAAATACGAAGAAACACGTGTATCTACACATTCAATTCCGTCTCTCGTAAGTTACACGGATGTAACTTGGTTCGCTAATAAAGATCATCACCCTCGGACATTTCTTTCTTCGCGGACAATGCAATTGGAATCGTCCCTCCGGGACCACCCCATTCGCATCCCTTTCCCGAACATATAGGGACACGAAAGTAGTCTCTTAACGGATCCTTAGGGAATGGCCCATGCGATCCGTAGCCATGACGCTCCATACTCATGGAGAATTTGAAAAGTTGCCTCCTGAAGCTGGTAAAACCGCGACATAATTGAGATGAACGATTTACACGTCCCTCGAGAAGGAATTCCTCTCGTATCCTTTTTTGTGTAGATTTTCATGCGCTAACGTCGTATAAGTATTTGAGTATGTTCATCTCCTGGTACAGTTAAATATGGATTATGGAGATGTGAGCTATGGTTTCTTGGATATGAGTTTCGTGGAAATTGCTGGAATAATTGCTTCTCTTTTTGGAATTCTATTCTCTTTTTAACTATAGTTCTTTCGGGAATTTCAAGATAATTGTAGGAATTTTAGGAACTCATCGTTAAAGTATAATATCTTGGATAGACCCTTCGAAGAAATTGTCGGAATAATTTCTTTTCTATTCGTATTCTTCTTTTACCATTTATCTTCTTCTACGAACTGCGGTTTTTCGTTTAACAAGTTCGAAGGGAATATTGAAAGTGTTCCTTTTAGAATATATGGTATTCTTCCCTATTTTTCGCGAATAGTGTTATTAAATGCTCGGAAAGAAGAATGAACATCATTTTGATCAAAATTACGCTTTTCTTCGTGTTACCTAGTTTCATTAAAGTATAACACACTGTCAAGTTGAAATTATATCTTTCCAACACTTACAGAACATTTACACGTCAAAAAAATCCTTCGAGAAAATCCAAACATCCAGTAAAATTCTAGACGAATCTAAAGAATAAAATTTAAAGAATAAAATTTGATCTTTCGTTGAGATTTAAAAATACCTGATTTCATCGAATTGAGAGGAGGAAAGCCTTGTGACGAAGACTTGGTTCGTTCATAGGATGGTTCATTGTTGATTAATGAACGAAATTTACAAGGAACAGGAGTAAAAGCAAGCAGACGTACGACCGACTCCGTGTATGTTAACGAAGCATTTCTTTCGATGAAGTTTCTGATTCCGTGTACAAACGAAATTGGACGAGAGATTAACATTGTCCACCTTGAGTCAACTTATTCGAACGCAAACAGAAACTGAAGTTTCACCAAGAAATCCCTAAGTTATAGAGAGGAACACCACTGTGATTCTCACGTCAAGAGCTACATCGCCGCAATGGTCAAACTAATTTCGATTTAATAGTAGAACAGTAACCGGTGACGTTTTATATGAAAGACCAAGATTAAAACGATCGAAAATTAAAAGAATGAAGAAAAATGTCTAATAGTAATTGATCCTAATAAATATTTTATAATACGTTTGGAAAAATTTCGTTAGTATACTGTTGCGAAAAAGTATAACTTTTGATCATTAACACGTTCCGTTTTTTTATTTTAATATTTATTTCATTTTTTTCATATTCATGATTATTTTCTTTTTTTAAATATTTGATTAAAACGTAAGTACTTCGAAACCAAAGGTACACGTCTTACATTTTATAACTGAATATCGTATAAGGGATAAATATTCAGAATTAGAAAAACAAAATTTTCCAGGGCGTTCTATATAGAGATAAACCTTACACTAAGATAAGAACTAAAAATTATTTTCTAAATACGCAACGGAAATTAATTTGGAATAAAAAGAGCTTATTTACTAAAGGGAATGTTAATCACTTTACATTGCAAATGAGATGATAAAGTTGTTATTTTAGAATGCTATATTATTAGCTTAGTGTAATGCTGTTACAAATGATTCGGTCAATTATCGTTCCGCGAATCAACTGTCTTTTGCGACAAGTAAAGTCTATAATGATAGTGTAGTTGCTGAATTGGTCTGGCATCAATGAGCATAATTGGTGCTCTGTTTCAAACACCAATATCTAGCAAACGAAATACTTAACTATTCAATGATGCATGAGTAACTATGTGAAATATAGTTCGAGGAGGTGCACGTATTGTACAAGATTATTCAACATACAAAGTCAAATGGAAGAACAATATGGCTAGAATAAAATACTATACAACAATTCATTGATTACTTCCACTTCTATATACTATTTGCTTAAAAATATGGTTATATAACGAACGAGGATTATATGAACAGTCATTACATCTCTTGCATATACATATAAGCTCTTTTTGTTCTCGTGGAACAAGCGTTATTCAAGAACGAACGATCATTACATCCCATAGATGTAGATCATAGATGCAGGTAGAACAATCATAATTCAAAGACGAACAACTATTACATTTACGAGATGCAATAATTGTCTTCGTCTTTGAATAACATTTGTCCTACTTAGCAATAAAAACGTATACAATGACGAAGAGTTTAGTATAAGCAATATAATAAATCAAATCTTCCTAACAAAATCCAAAACATTTAAACATTGTTAATTTTGTAATTTATAGAAATATTAAAAAATGATGATTAAGAAAGAAAACCAGCATACATTCAGAAGTAAAGTAAATCATCGAGAAACAAGTGTGCCCAAAAAGTTATTGAAAAGAAACGTTTCAAAACAGGTACATAAGTAAACGATACAAATAAATAAGAATTGACACGAAGAATGCAAGTTCTCGGTTGTATAATTTGTCAGTAATAAAATATTTTCATGATCTCCGTCTTCTTTTTACAGCTCTCAGTATGCAAAGATTTCTCGTAGATTCAATGACAATTAAGAAAATCAACTCATAACGTTCGTCATTGTTTGCTGATTAAATAAATCTGTTTGCACTGCGTTCAGAAACATAGGCACGCTGTGTTGTTGTTGCAGGTGTCGCTCCACTAACGTGCCGAGTGTCGCAGAGAACGCAGTTTCCAAAAGGTCCACTCCCTCCTCTCCAATTTTAAAGAATAAGAAATCATCCGGCGATTCGGCGTATTGACTAGATAACTTGTATCGAGCTTCCTTCGTTCTATCCACTCTCCAACCGAACAATTGGTAACAAGCTTGTCGGTATTCTTGCGATGATGCTTTGAAGGCTTCCTTGAGGCGAGCTATTTTAATCTCGTGTGTCTGTTTGAGTTCCGCTATTTCTAGATATAACATGAAAATGCTGGTAAATATAAAACGAAAATGTACCAAATGTGATGCAAAATAGTCGAATTGTAGTTGTGAATTCAGAAAGAGTGAAGATTTATTTCGTTGTTGACGCTGAATATTTATACGATAACAGAAAAGATATGATAAAATAATTTTATGGTAGTTTTTTTTCTCTGAAAGTATAAATTAGTATTAAAACATTATAGATGAGATAAAATATGAAAATCAGTGTACATATAAATTCAATTAAAAGGCTAAAGAAGTTTATCAGTACACAAGTCAACAGTATTATATAAATATCGTTTATCTTAGAAGTTTCTTGAAGCACTCGTCCTCTACTACTTAGCATAGTACTATTTTATAAAAATTTATCCATACTATTCCTATTATCTTAAATGCGATTCGCATTATTTTCAGAATATATCATTAGCTACAATTATGTTTCACTATGATCATCAATTATCTTTCATGTCATATATTACTTTCTATATCTTACTGCCACTTATTATCATTCAAGCTTATAAACCATATTATAATATAGTATAGTATCATAGTATAATATAGTATAAAAGTATGAACTATAGTATAATATAGTAAATATTAATTATAGCACCTTTAATATAATCAGTACTTAATATTAGTATCTATTTCATTATATAAAAGTACTTTTAATTGATTGATTGCCTTTTTGCTCTTAACAAAAATCATATTAATGTTTTTGAAAAATTACCTTGTGTTTGAAGGGAGGATGTCGTCATGTTGACTCCACCTTGCGCGACTTTCGCCCTCAACTCTTCCACTTCATGTAGCAAAGCCTTCTGTTTCTCCTCCGCTTGTTGTTCTGCAATGGCAGCAGGATTCATAGTGAAGTGCAGTATCCTCGCGTTGCAATTAAAATCGCCCTTCAATGCTCTATGTTCCAATTCACCCTTCAATCGTTCGACTTCCTCCCTCAACTTATTGCACTCGTCCGCTTGGTTATGACTCTCAGCCAATTGAAGATCACTTTCTAATTTGGCGACTAATTCTCTACAATTATAAATCAATGACCGTAACTCAGTTATCGTATTATTATCCAAAATGCAAAAATTGAAATAGAATTTTAAATTACCTATAAACATCTATCGTACGTTCCAGCACAGGAATCCTTTCGGTTATCGCGTTATTAGTGTCTATCGTTATCTCTTTTTCGTATAAGTCTAATTGTTGTCGATAACTGTCCCTCTCTCTCGTAATAAGGATCATCTTCTTCTGTAATCTATTCACTAATTTGTTCAACTGTTCCTTGGAGGCTGTAACATCCATAGCCACTTTTTTAGCATCTTCGTAATTCTTCGACAAAGTATACGACTCCCTCAATGCAGCATCCAGTCTAGATCTCAGCTGCCCTTCCTCTGATTTTAAGACTAATTCAGCTTGTTGCAGTCGATTCAATTCGCGTTTTAAAGCAGTTGGTCCACCAGTAATTCCAGTAGATTCATATTCGGCCAAGCGCAATGAAAGTTCCGTCTTTTTGGCCTCAAGTGTAGCAACCTGCTGCTCTACTTTTTCCATATGATCTAATCTATAAAATTAAAACCACGCTTATAAATGATTATAAGTATAACAATGATAGAAGTTTATTAAAAAGGGCTTGTTGAAAGAAAGTGTACCTTTTCATTACATTGGCCATTTGTTCTTCTAAAAGTAATTTTCCCCGCACTGACTCTCTTAATGAAACAATGGTTTCTTTTGCAGTGCTAAGCTCTTTCTCAAGTTCATTCGCTCTCGCGGCTCTTGCAACAAACGTCTTTCCTTCCTCCCATAGCGCTCTTTCCGACTCCAACCTTTCAACTTTTATTTTCATACTTTGGAGTTCCACATTTTGCAATTCCAACTCCTGTTGCTTAGTCTGATATTCCTTCAATTTCCCTTCCAGCTGTGTTATTCTTCTTTGAGCTGCATCCAGTTTTAGTTGTGTTTCAGATACATCAGTAGAATCCTTTGTTACTATTTTACCCTCTTGTACAGGTGCATGTTTATGATCTTCTAACAGCTTTGCATTTTCGTTCATTAGCGACATAATTTTCTGCTCCAAATTCGTTTTTACCTATAAACAATATATATTTATATTAAACATCAAACTGAAGCAATATTCAAATTATTTAATTAACCCTTTTGCAATGGCAGATACTAGCCATCTTTTGAGCTACCAATGTGCCCATATAAAATCTTAGAGGATTTCGTTGCAACAGCAGAGGACTTAAGGATGTATTGGAAAAGAAAACGTTGTTGAGTCCTTGTTCTATATTTTAAAAATAAATCCAATAATAAATCTTCACTTATAAGTTACTTATTGGAAATTATGTAACAATGATAGATATAATTTAGTAATATATATAAAATAATGTTTTATATATATATATATCATCGTTGTGGACAAGAAACATATGTAGCTGCTAGCTGTGGCTAGCCAATACAAAGCGCTTAGTGGATGACTGATATAATCGGTACCAATCGCAAAAGGGTTAAATAAAAGCACTATACCTGAAATAGCTCTTTCTCTACAGAAGCTCGTGCTTCAGATGCATCCTGAATTGTTCTACGTGAAATATCAAGGCGCACTTCCAGTTGTTTAATTGTCTGTTTATCTTGTTCCACTTGCATCTCTAAAATACCTTTCTCCTTTTCGAAGACTTCTTCCATTTGTCTGCGTATTTTGTGAAGCTGCTGTACAGCAGCTTCCTGATGAGACAATCTTGTCTTCAAGGACACAACCTAGTGAAATAAGTACAGTTCTTTGATATGCTTGATTTATGGATATTTATATAATGTTAATTGAGTACATTACCTGTCCTTTTAATCTTCGCCATTCCCATGGACTACTTGGAACAGTCTCAGCCTCACTCATATTTAAACTACAATCATTAGAATCACTTAATCTTGGCCTTTTAGGTGATATAACACATTCATCAGATTCACCAAATGCCAGTGGTGTATATGCAGTACCAGATAATCTTAAAGACACACTGTTATTACTTTTACGATATGCTTCAGAACCTGCCTTAAGATCCTTTATCATTTTAATGACACTTGTTGGATCCTTATCATCCATCTGTAGAAAAAATATAATACAAATTATAAATAAATAATTATGACAAATAGGTTATGCTCATAAAATCTATTAATTTGTGTTTGTTACATACATTTTATAAGAAAGTGAGAATTAATTAAAGTTACCTTAATAAATTGTTTTATTACAAAGAAGTTCAAATATTGATATGAGCGTTATTTAATGAGATATGGGCGTTAGAGATATGAATATACATTGAAATATATCATCTATAATATATAAAATGTAATTTACTATACACCCAGTCAGTGAATATAATTACAATTCTTGTATAACACTGTATATTATTACGTTACTATACTTCTTTCGTAGTTACTAGATTTATAAATTTTAAATATCATTACAGTTGCTTATACTTTAGTCATACGTTTTTGTAGCGGCACAATACGCATACAATACAAAAGCGGTAGTCTACACCACGGTGTGTACCATCAGAAAAGAAATGGGAGTGCTCGCGCCCATTTTCTAGTTGTTCCACAGGTGCTGCACCATGCGGCACAGTGCTGAAGCTGTTCTACGCTAGCATATGCAAGAACCTGTAAAGTTAGAGATTTGTCTTGTTTGGTTCCATTTGGTTCCTTGTTTGGAATTTACATTCCTCACAATAATATTTTTGTTATAATAAAGTCTAAATTTAATATTGTGAATAATACTGTGAATAATATTTCCGACGTGATGTATCTATTTTGCATGCATATTCGTTTACAAAAATGATAAAAACAGAAGTACAAATTAACTACAGACGAGATTTAACATCAAGACTAATTTTTGTGATACACGATTTTTAGAAGGATAAAAAAGTATGAACTTTCCCGTAGAATCTTCTAATGAAATATGCTCTTGTAACGTGAAATCATAGCGAATATACTTTGTTTGTGGTGAGACTAAAGAAGTCCTTGTATATGCTAACGTAGAACATCAACCCTTCGCCGTTGGAGAGCAGTCCTAGTACGTGAACAACCGGAACCATAAGCATGAGCACTCTTATTTCCTTATTATTAAGTTGTCCAAAATCAGACGCTTAATGATCATTCATACTACGAACAAATTGTAAAATTGTACAATTATTGTAAATTTTCAAATTCCATTGGATAAAACAATCTTATTTTACAAATGTACAACGCATTTAAAATCATTTCAATCTATAATCCTTAAACCCTTTCCAATTTCCATTGATCTTGGGAATAAGTTAAAAAAATGACATCATTTTTTGGCAAAATCAGAGAGCAAAAAATTTGCCGTTCAAACGAGAAATTTAACAGGCTAAATAGCGATTGTTAGGAGAATATGATAAGATAAGATATAGCACAATTTTGTCGATTCTTAGAAATGATGTCATATACCGAGAATTTATAGAAACCAAAATCTTCGACTGCCCAAAAATGTTTTCAGTCGATTTTGCTATTTTGCTTCAGGAGAATATGACAACATAGGAGGTGGCACAATCTGGCCGATTTTTGGAAATAACGCTATATTCATACGGCCACGTCGTGTACACTCGTTCTTTTCATCAAGAGCAGCGTAGAAGAAACGTGCGTATAGTTCAGCCATTGATCACTAGAGACCCTTATTCTTAGTTTTTACTGATTTTTTCACATTCCATCGGCGATCTTCCTATTCTTTACTACTCATGCCTAGTATGCAGTATACACAAAAACTTTTTTTACATTGTGTATATTTCAAATATATATAAGAGGTTGTTGTGAAAAGAATATATATGGCATAATTGGAATTTAATAAAATGTAAGAATTAAAAAAGGTGACTTAATATTGTATCGATGTTGTTATCACTAATAAATTCATCTATGCGTATTTGTTTTATTTACTAAAGTATGGAATAGTGAGATAATTTGTACACGAATATTTTTAAAATTTGTGCAAATTAAATATATTTATTTATGTATATGGCACATTGTGGTTGACAAACTAAAAAGATATATTTAAAAGAATTTCATCATGATTTCCAAAACTGTATGTATCACTCAAGAAGGCCCAGCAAATGCATTAGCTCTTAATAAAGATAACAGTCAAGTTGTTATAGCAGGTCGCAATGGTAAATTATTCAATCATAAAATACTAAGTTATTTAATACTTTGACTGCCACACTGAAATCACATATTTCGCTCAGGACGCCACAGTGTTTTAACACAGTGCACCATTAGATGCAAGATTTGTTCTCATTTTTTTTTATTGATGTTCTAATAAAAATGTTTAATTGTTGAATGGGGCACTTTTTATTTCAAAGTATCTTCTATTTATCGGTTATATTCAAAATGTCCTAACTGTCAATTTTCATTCAATTTTTACAATTGTAAGAAGTTCAAGCGCTCCTGTACCAATGACCACCGTGGCGTCACAGGAAAAACCGTGGCCGGTCTTATATGACCAACATGGCAGTCAAAGTGTTAATTACTGAAGAAATGATGACTGATTAATTATTTTCAATTACAGTTTTCAAAATATTTACTTTATTAGAAGATAGATTTGAAGAAGCTTGTAATCTACGTGTTGGGAAAAATTTAAATTTAAATTTTTCTTGCAATGATGTTGCTTGGAATCTTATCGATGGTAAATTTTAATCTTTCTCCTTTATTTTGTCTAAAATGTCAAGAGATAATGGGCGATTTCTTTTCTCAGATCATATATTAGCTACTGCAGCTACAAATGGTGCAGTGGTAGTATGGAACTTAAATAAGTCATCCAGATCCAAGCAGGAACATGTTTTTATCGACCATAAAAGGACTGTAAATAAAGTCAGTTTCCATATGACAGAACCTATGTGGTTGATATCAGGTTCTCAAGATGGTACTATGAAATGTTTTGATTTGAGAATAAAAGAAGCTACTAGAACTTTTTATAGGTAAATATATGATTAAGAAATATTTCAACATATGCATATTGAAAAGTATTAGATAATATTGTTAATTTCAGTAATACAGAATCAGTAAGAGATGTACAGTTTTGCCCTCATTCACCTCATACTTTTGCCGCTGTTTCTGAAAATGGCCATGTGCAACAATGGGACTTACGCAAACCAGACCGTTACTTTCAACATTTCACTGCCCATAGTGGTCCCATATTTGCCTGTGATTGGCATCCTGAAACTGCTTGGCTTGCAACTGCTTCTAGAGATAAGACCATTAAGGTAGTTTGTAACTATATGTTATTTCTCATCTGAATCAAAACTAATGTATGGAAAATTGCAGGTTTGGGACTTATTAGGTAAACCTAGTTGTGATTATATTATACACACAATTGCATCAGTAGGTCGTATAAAATGGAGACCTCAAAGAAAATATCATATATCCAGTTGTGCTCTTGTAGTAGACTGTAGTATAAATGTATGGGATATTCGTAGGCCTTATATACCTTTCGCAAGTTTCAATGAACATAAAGACGTTCCAACTGGTGTTGCATGGAGAGGCAATCCACAGTCTTTCTTGTCAACAAGCAGGGTAATAACATTATAATATTTATAGTAAAGTATTGCCTGCATTATTGAAAAGTATTAGCAGAATATTCTTCTGTAGGACTGCACACTATATCATCATGTGTTCAAAGATGCAACCAGACCTGCGAGTAAGGCGAATCCGCAAGGGATTGCGTTGAATCCGAAAGGAGACATTGTATATGCTTGTAAAGTAAATGTTCATGTTACAACTACAATGAAACAATTAACTAATATAATGAGGTTAATAAAGTTACTATTTAAAAATAATCTTGAAAAATAAGTCAATGAATATAATTCTACAATTATTTATAGGAAGACACCAGCTACAAATGATACGTTTTGTATGGCATCTAGCGTTATGCATAGATTTGCTATAAATATGCCACGGGAACCAAAATGGTTTAGAGCTTGTGCAGAAGGTTATTTGCTTTCTGGGAGATTAAATGATATTTGCGATCATAATGCCATCGTTGCCAGAAATGCCGGTAGAAATGATGTATGCAGTCGTTCAACTTAAAATCAATGTACCTCACGCTCGTATTATATTATTAATGCACAAAATCAACTTCAATTAGATTAGTACGGTGTGGAATATTATAAAAACTTTATACGCGAATCCTCTGGGAGCTATTTTAAAAACACCTCCAACTGCTTCCAAAGAAGATATAGTGAATACACTAAATTTAGCTCAAATTACAATCGGATCTGGTATAGATCAATCAAATACAGGTAAAGATATCAGTATGCTTAAGTAATACAATCGGTCTTTAACTATAATTTTCACTAGTAATTAAAGTTTCACAGACTTTTAACGATGTTTACAATATTTTTTTCAAGTACATGAAAATGATGTAAAGTCATTACAAGGAGAAGTAACAGGTGCAACTAGCGGAGGTGACGATGAGACAGAGACGGATGAAACGCCAGAAAACCAACATTCTATAGGGTCTATGTTACCTAGGTAATATTAACTATATTAATGGAAAATATTACATGCGATGTTTACTGTAGCTGGTTTACATTGTTCTTTTATGTGATATCTAGCTACAGACGAGCTTTTATTGATCATAAAGGTCCATCCAAAGGAGATTTCTTATTTGGAGAAAGCGAATTCGAACCTACAACTATGGAATATACTTCCAGTTACATGCATAATATGATAAATAACGATAACGATTGGACGCTGTCCAAAGAGGCGTTTCCTTTGCGACACGAAATAAAGGACAGATCTCCACCACCGGAACAATTTCCAAATCATCCACCAGATATTAACGAAGACTGTGCTTCGTTAATGATCGAAGATCAACCAAGTCAGTTAATAGTCTCGAATATACCTAAACCACAATTTTGGGATCCTACAAACTTGATCGAAGAAGCTTTGAAGCACCATGCCGCTCTTAGAGACATACAAACTTCTGCGTCGATTCTTATCGCGTTAGGAGAAAAACGAAAAAACTTGAACATCGAAACTGCTGTTCAAGAACATTGGATATTAGAATACTTAGATATGCTTGCAAGATTTAAACTTTGGAACGTGGCTACACAGGTTAGCGACAAATTCTTATTAAAACATCTTAATAATATTCATATGGAAATCACAATTAAGTTGATATGCATCGGTAGATTATTCAGTCGGTCTGGATTCCATCCGTGTCGCAATTAAATCAACAATCAACCGTAATACACACGTGTTGCTTAGCTTGTTCAAAGCCATTACAACGTGCAGCATGGTTTTGCGATCGATGTCATACGTCTCATCACGCACTCTGCTCGGTTTGTCATCAGGTAAGCTATTGAATTACGATCGCTCTTATATCATTATAACTGTATTCGCATATATATAGGTTGTTCGAGGAATTTACGCATGGTGCCAGGGCTGTACACATGGTGGTCATGTTGTTCATATGAACGAATGGTTCAGTTGCAATCGACAATGCCCTACTGGTTGCGGTCACATATGCGAATATACTTAAAAATATCGTGACAATAACGACTACAGTGTTCCACATTTTCCG